GTAGATGTTGTTTGTTCACAATAAAATATAATCACAACAAAATCAGTATCTAATCCTTCCTTTAATCTTTATAGCATTTTGTCAGTTAGAMAATTTGTCCTGTGACTAGCTCTTGTGAGCAACATTGTTGATACAAATGTTAAAATTTTGTTTTGTTTTCTTTAAATGGAAAAAAAACCAAAATATTATAAACTTCAATACTAATTTTTCAGCTTATCGAAATGCTGTATTCTTTTTTCTTACTCAATGACAAGTACTAATGCGGGAGGCCAAAAACGTACGTTTAAAAAGTGTAAGTAAAGCTTCAATTCTTTCTAGGATGTTGTAACGAAAGTGAAAGTTGGTATTATTGTGCAATGATGAGAGCTAAAAATTTCGTTTTGAAACTATWTTTTCACAGAAAGAGGTAAATAGAGTCAGTGAAGTTTACCCACAGAGCACAGGAAAAAACAATTTTAATTAGTTTGACTTTGAGCCAAGAAGATGACCAACGACCGCAGCAGTGAAGATCAACGTGTTAGCAATGAACATTGTCCGTATTGTAATTTTCGATAAACAACTGGACTTTATGAAGTGTTTATAACTAAGGACTTAACTCTATTGGATGTGACACTCCAAAGTTAAACAGTATCAAAAATAATCGACGTATTTCAAATACTGGTTGCTTCAAAAAAAAAAAAAAAATTAAAATTAATTAAATGACATTTTCAAACTTATGTCTCGCGGTACATTGCCATAGTCATAAGAAATACATTTTATATATCATTTTACTGAAAAAATGTCATATTGCGGACTGATATCGCGTAAAGCTGGGGTTCTGCTAAAAGAAGATCAGACACATTCAGTGCAGCTGAAACGGGTGCTAACTACATTAGAATTTGAGCCTAGTAAAATCACATAGAAAATACGAACCCCTGCTGGCTGGATCCAACACATTCAATGCGGTCGAAATCTCGTCACTAAGGCGTGCGGCTCGCAATGAGTCAGAGAAATTTAACCTTTGAACTGGCTATATGAAAAGTAATGTAGTCAGTACTTTTCATAAGATAATAAATGTAAAATATAAATGTAAAAAGATCGAAACAAATGTAAATGTCAATGGACCCCTCAATTTTCGAGTCTGGAAATCGAAACAAAACCAAAATTTTCTTGAAACATTCGTTGATATTAATAATACATGGTATTTTACTCCGCCGTTGCTCTGGGTTTTTTATTCATGAATATTCTATATCAAAACAAAACTCGAGTTGTCTCCTTATTTGGGGAGATAGAACAATAAGATAATAAGCAGTGAAAAGATCCACAATTTCTATGCAAAGTTTTCAAACTCAATAATTAGGCTCTACAACGAATCAGAACATAGTATATGTTCAGGTGTATAGTATGAGTCTTAATATCAGTTGAAACATCGCTAAGAACCCGACTTAATACCCAATCGGAGTATCATGTGAAACTTTCGTATCTTCATTCGCATTTCTACATCTATACCTTTAAATACTTGACTTCATACCTTTACATAATAAATGAAATTTCAACGTGTTCAAAAACAAAGTTTTGAAACTTCAAAGTGTGTATCTTTGAATAATACACTTCATACCTCTGCATAATGAATAATGAAACTACAAAGTGTTCAACTTCATAGTTTTAAATAATAACATTTTGAACCTCAAAGTGTCCAAGAAAAGTAAAACTGATCCAGATTTCTATTTCTTTTGCCGTGTTTTTTTCAAGTTTCTGGGAATCAATTCTATCATAGCTGATATTGAATTTACCTGATTTTTTCTACGGTTTTTCTCTAATCTCCAATTCCGATTTTCCTCTCTCATAAAACCAACGCTCTGTGAGTTAGCCGTGCTCTGAACTAGATTGGCCCCGAAGTTGTTTTAGGTTTCAATCAGTGAGTTAGCCGTGCCCTGACTTTGCTCAACCCCGAGGTTGTTTCAGGTTTCGATCTGTGAGTTAGGCGTGCCCTGACATAGATCAGCCCAGAGATTGTTCCAGGGTACTGATAAAATTACAAGATTAGACGATATATTGTTTTTCGTGTAAAATATTCCAAAGTATGTTTTAAACGAAAATATGTCACTGCTGCCAAAAGTGGCTGTTTTCCCTTCCTTTTTCGTTTAAATGAAATAGTTATTTGTGGAATAATTTAATATACTTACATTTGATTTTGTGCTTTACATATGTTTTKCCTTTTACATGACYRSGTGGAAAAGTGGAAAATGACGAAGCATTTTTTCCCATCTTAACTTGTTCAACTAAACCATACAAAGTGAAAACTCTTTGAAACTAACTTATTCAATTCCAATATCGTTGGCATAGTGCTGCTCATCGAGAAACAATTAACAACATCGATCTGTTGCCGGGGAAACATCGAAACTTGTTTACGCTCCCGTACAAGAAAGTTGGTATATAACAATTAACAATTATTAGCCGAATGCGAAGTGAATATCGGGAATTACTTACCGAGACGCGAGTCTTTTGTATTTTTAACACAAGTGAATTGAATAACTAACGAAGACGGAGAGTTTTGTTACATTTTTCAATGTTATTTATCTCTGGAAGCGGCAAAAATTGACAAACGAGCGAGCGCGTGAGCACTATATTCACCTGTAGGTGAATATAGTAGCATAAGACGTAAATTGTAACCAATGAGCGCGCCGGATTTATTATATTCACTTGTGTAAAAATACTAATTATCTTTATTATTTAATAGCGAAAATTTKGAATAGGCAATGAGCTTGAGCTTGAGACATATTTAGATTAATGGAACAAGAGAAAAACAAATTTAGAAAAAAAGTAGTGAAACTATTGAATACAAAGCTAAATCCTTTCATTCATTCTTTTATTCCTTCAACAAAATAATCGAGTGAGTAACTTTTTTGATATAAATTTATAGAATTATTTTGCGAAGTAAATTGAAGTCAAAAATATTGTTTAATAATGTATGATGATCAAGATCGGACGCTTTTTGTATTTTCTTTGTAATAGGGAAATCCCCTACAGATTCGATCGAAGTTGTTTCCATGAAGTCTAGATTATGCCGAGACATTGCCGATATTGCCGATTTGCCGATAATTGTCACATGATTGTTAGCCTTGGCGTTTCTTGAATAATGTAACAACCGACTCCCTTAGTTATTTACCGTCACGGCTGAATGAGACACTTGTATTATGGCGTCTTTTATAATTTACTACCACTACCAGAATGCCTTGAACACTTTCTTTTGTTCAGTTAATTAGCAGCAATTGTCTTACTATTCTCATCAGAGAATTCAAATTTGAATAAGAAAGAAAGTTCGCGAAGCATTATGGTAGTGGGAGTCAAATGACGCTCAGTATCATACAAACGTCTTATTGGCATGCAGAGATATCTATTGAACTACGAAAGGCCATGTTCGTGACGTGTATAGTTAGTACAATTGGATCAAAGGCTAATGATTTATTCATGAGATTTTTTTCTAATTAACTCGCAGATTTTAATAGTTATCAGGTCTAAAGCCACTTAAAAAAAAGAGATGCTGAAAACTGTCAAATGAAGTGCAGTAGATTGTTACTTCAATTAACCCAATAACATTTTTGTTCAAAAACAGACAATTCTAAATACCATATCTTCGAAAACTACATTGATGTAGCTTTTAGAAAATGTATACCTTTTCGGCAAAATATTGTGAAATCTGTGCTGTACAAATCTCCTCCTGATACCTTAACGCATGTGGTTAAAACCTTATGGTATTTTTGACAGTGACAAAGTGTGTTCAGCTAAAAAAGCTTTATGGCTGAAAGAGGGTGCCAATCGGGGTACCCAACTGTAAGTTAAGAACTAATTTTTCGGCCGAATGTCAGTCGTAACTGTAATAATTTTACCAACGCTGGTCAAAATATTAACCAAAACAATGAAATACTGATCAGTTAACTGTTAACTAGTATCAACACAGATGATTGGGAGGAGCAGGCTGGCAACGGACCTGGCTGGAGACATGCTATTTACGTAGGAGCGAAGCAAAGTGAACAACGAAGAAAAGAGCACAGAGAAAGACTTCGGTCGCAAAGAAAATCAAGGCAACAAACTTCTCCAACAGTTGAACCAACAGCTACAGAGTTCGTATGTGCTACCTGTCAAAGACGATGTTTTTCTAGAATCGGACTTCATAGCCACAAAAGAACACATAAACAATAACAATCATTTACTAAGTAGGCATCTTACTCGTTAGAGGGATAGCTTCACACTATTTTTAGGTTATTTGTCAGTTAATACAATTTTTTAGCCAATTTTCAGTTAACTACTGACCCCATTCGCAACCTCCTGATATTTTTCATGCTAAATAGACAAATCTATAATATTGCAAGGATGTCATTGGAAAATAAACCAATTGCATCAGAAGTAACTGAAAGAATATTTAGAATATATTCGTAGCTAGTTAGTTGTAACTTTTCACTTACCTTGATAAAATCATGAAAATCATTTTAAAACTTTGTATTT